GTTTCAGGGTAGGATCCCCTATAATTTACCGTAAAGGGGCTACGAGAATAATATTCCAACTTTCTGGCTTTTACCTTAAGGGTGCCGCCTTGTTTGGGGTTCTTACAAAGGGTCCCCAGTTTGGAGAGCTACCCATGTACACATGTGGGAGAGTTTCCGAAAAGTAGGGGTACCTTTTTTGGGGACCTTATACTACGGATCCTACTATTTAGGCTACCGTATTAGGATCCCCTGTTTTCGGAAACTCCCACATGTTTGTTATGATACAGCATGTAAGGCTTTGGATGGTTCTTGTGTCGCGGAATACAAACGAAGACAGAACCTAAGCCCCCAACCCCTTAACCCTAAACCCTAAACCCTTAACCCTAAACCCTAAACCCTAATCCCTAAACCCTAAACCCTAAACCCTAAGCCCCTAACCCTAAACCCTAAGCTCTGAGCCCGAAACTTCTAAACCCTAAATCCCAAGCCCTAAATCCTAAACCCTAAACCCACCCTTATAGATCCCTTAAAGGAACCCCTAAACCCTACCCTTATAGATCCCTTGTAGATCCCTTAAAGGAACCCCTAAACCCTAAAAGCCCTACCCTTACAGATCCCTTAAAAGGAGCCCCAGTCAGCCCTAAACCCCGGTTTCTGCGAGCCAGGAGCTCAGGCCTGGTGCTGCTTGCTGCTGTGCTCATGCCCTTTCGTCTGCTGGGGGGTTGGCTTAGGGTTCAGGGTTTAGGGGCCATGGGATTTAGGGTTCCTTAAAGGGTTATTTAAGGGGCTCCTTTTAAAGGGTTCTATAAGGGATCTACAGGGGTTTAGGGTTTAGGGTCTACTTAGAGGATCATGGGACTTAGTAACTAGGGTTATAAACAAGGTAACTATACTTATAACTCCAATTAGGGTACTTATAACCTCACTTACTAAGTGCCATGATCCTCCAAGTAGGGGGTTGGCTTAGGGTTCAGGGTTTAGGGGTTCCTTTAAGGGATCTATAAGGGATCTATAAGGGTAGGGTTTAGGGCTTAGGGTTCCCAAAGACTCCAATATCCCTTAAGGAAGGAAGAAACCCAAGGTTTTGGGGTTGGGTTTAGGCGTTAGGGACTTAGGAGTTTTGGGGTTCAGGGTTTAGGGTTGGGGGAACGGGCAAAAGCATGTGAGTGCTTGGCTGGTGCTTGGAGGATCATGGGACTTAACAAGTAAGGTTATAAGTACCCTAATTGGAGTTATAAGTATATTTACCTTTCTTAGAACCCTAGTTACTATGTCCCCATGATCCTCGAAGCAGGGTTCTTTCAAGTTCTTATCCATAAGCGTACTACGAGGCTTACGAGTTTTGGGCCCTGGGGCTTAGGGCTTGGGGGTTTAGGGCTTTTGGTTTAGGCGTTAGGAGTTTAGGGCTTAGGGCTTACGGTTTCGGGGTGTTGGGTTAGAGTGTAGGGCTTAGGGTTTAGAGTTGAGGGTTGAGGTTTAGGTGGGCAACATAGAGATTGGGGTTTAAGTGTTGGGGGCCTTGCGGTTTAGGCCTTAGAGTGCGGAGTTCATGGACAGTGGGCCAATTCCGATTCCTTCCCTGTGAGGTGGATGCTGTCACCATCAACAGCGCGGCATTTGCCTGTGCATTGGCAGCACGCTGGGCCAAGGCACTGGCACTTCTGGCTTCTGGATTGGCTTCACCCACGGCTCCTTGTCTTCACTCATCCCACCCCCGCGTTTCCGGGCTTAGGATTTGGGGGTATTTTAGGGCTTTGGGTTTTTAGGGTCTGATGGTTTTCTCGACCGGCGACGCCTTTCCACTGCACAACTGTCGCTTGTACGAGGGAGCACCGATTGCCGCCGTTACAGAAGCAGAAACCGCTGGAGGAACTTCTGAACGAACCCTAGAAATGGGAGTTTCCGAAAATAGGGGACCCTAATAGAGTACCCTAAATACTAGGACCCTTATTATAAGGACCCCAAAATATGGTACCCCTTATATTCGGAAACTCCCATAAAAGAACTCTTAAAGGAGCCCTCAAAAGAGCTCTTAACATGATTTTCTGAGAAGAGCCCTTACCCAGACCCCCGGGAGGATCCAAAAAGTAGATCCCTTAATGGGGGTTCCTATAAAGTACCCTTAGTAGTATAGGGCCCCAAATTAAGGGATCTACTTTCTAGATCCTACACCCTAAACCCTAAACCCTAAAACCCTAAACCCTAAAGGATCCCTTAAAGGAGCCCTTTAAGGAACCCTACTAAGTTCCATGATCCTCCCAAAGGGGGCCCCAAATTAGGGGATCTACTTTCTAGATCCTCCCGGGGGTCTGGGTACAGGAACCCTCAACGTGACTCTTAAAGCGAACGCTTAAAACGATAGGAGCGTTTCAGGTAGTAGGGAATGGAAGAATGGTAGTAATGGGTTCCTCTAAAGGGATCCTTTAAGGGATCTATAGGGTTTAGGGTTTAGGGGTTGGGTTTGCCTTTGGTCAGTAGGGAATGGAAGAATGGTAGTAATAGTGATAGTAGTCATGATTGTACCCCATTCCTCCATTCCCTACTACCCAAAGGTAAGCTCAGTTGAGGTGATCAGCTACAACACGCTGGCATTGGCTTTCAAGGCCTTCGTCGCAGAATTTGCTTCGCAGCATACTGGGTTTAGGACGTAGAGCTTCGTAGCCTACTGGAAAGAGCTAGTTGAGTAGGGGTGCCTAAACCCTGATCCTGAATCTAGTAAACTTACCTTTGGTTTTCAGGGAATGGAAGAATGGTAGTACTAGTATTATAACTGTACCCCAATCCTCCATTCCCTACTAACCAAAGGTAAGTAAGCCCCAGCATGCAGGAAGCCGCCGAATGGCAGCGTTGCCTTTCGTTGTACGGTATGCTGGCAGCGGACCGGCTGAGACCGGATGCCGTAACCGACTCCCGGCAGGCAGCTGGAGTTTATGCGGTAGTATAATACAGCCATAACAGAATTTCAGAAAACCTAGTAGAATCTATCTTGAAATAGAATCAAAAAGAACAGAATAGAATGGACTAGCAAGAGCCCATGCCCGGCATACTGTCTATGTAACGGGTCGATTCCTTCATGTCTCAGGACAGTACTGCTGCCAGCGCCCTGGCCAAAGCTGCCAGGCCTGTGTGACTGTACATGGAATGCAGTCTTTCTATGTGCCGCATCGCATGTTTTTGACGGTGTTTATACATTTTTGCTAGAGGGTTTAGGGTTTAGGGGCTTATATCTTTTTCTAAAGGGTTGTGGAAAGGATGCTATCTCGCTTTCTGGAAGTGCCCACAGGTGGGAGCAGGCTGTAGTGGTCGCTGGGCGCCTCCCAACTCTGCGACTGGCGCCCTCGCCTGTGGCTTAGACAGGGAACGGGGGAACTTTAAACTTTTTGGCCTTATATCTTAGCTCTATCTTAAAACATTTAAACTTCCCAGACCCTCTGGAGGATCTAGAAAGTAGTTTCTTTAATTTGGGGTTTATACTACTAAGGGTACTTCATCGGAACCCCCATTTACTTTTTGGATCCTCCCGGGGGTCTGGGTTTTTGGAGCCCGGCTGTTGAAGAAGCGAGGTGGTGCATGGAGCAGCGATCGCGGCGTGCGAGAAGGGATGGCAGTGGAGGCAAAGGACTCTTCTCAAAGGGTTCCTTGGGGGTCTTCTTAAAGGGTTCTATAAGGGATCTATAGGGATTTAGGGGGGTCTTCTTGCAGGGTTCTATAAGGCAGGGATCAAAGGGGATTTAGGGGGGTCTTCTTAAAGGGTTCTATAAGGGATCTAAGCCAGGGTTCTCTCTTTCGATCGTTTTCTTCAACCACAAGCATTAGGAGGCCCGTATAGAGCTGGCGCAAGAAGACATAAGTGGAACGCCAAAATATTGGAGTTAGCTATGACCATTACTCACGACCATTACTTCGGGGCGAGAGCAGGTGTGGGGGAACGTGACATCAAATCTAAGTTGTTAGAGGTGTCGCAAAACAGACAGACTTGGTCTTCGGTTATTCAGCGTGTTCGTAGTTCTTGGCGTCGCCCACGGGATGCCGACGGTGCCCCATGGCAGTGAAAAGGGATTTAGGGGGGTCTTCTTAAAGGGTTCTATATGGGATCAAAGGGGATTTAGGGGGGTCTTCTTAAAGGGTTCTATAAGGGATCTATAGGGATTTAGGTTTTAGGGCCAACCTGGAGGTTCATGAGACGTAACTACAGCTAGAAGTACCTGAACTGGGGTCATAAATGTAGTTCTAAGTATAGTTACCTTATCTATAACCCTAGTTACAAAGTCCATTGAACCTTTGAGCACCGCCAGTTCAGAAGTCAGAGGGCTCAGTTGCTGAGGCCTCTTAGGGGCTTCGCAAGCTGAGGCTTACTTGTGGGATTCCCAAACTATACCCTTACTCTTTCAACAAGGGCCTGGCATGGCCTAAGTCCGAGACCTACCCTAAGAACCAAATGTCAAAACCCAAACCCTAAACCCTAAACCTTAAACCCCAAGACCTTAAACCCAAAACCCTACCCACATCGTCCCCTCGAGGGAAAAACCATTCGTTCAGGGCGGCCCTTGCCCTTTCCGCAGAGCTCCGGGCAGCCGGTGTCGGCTTCGTTCCGGCGGCGCTCGCGGCGCAGAATGGCACGGTCTCCGCGTGTGAGAAGGTGGTCTGACGTGCTTATGCAAAACCACATTTGTATTTTTATAAGGTCCATTAAGATAGAGGTATAGATTCAGATATAGATATAACTAAACTGTAGGTATACATTATAGATACAGGTGTAGATATGGATATAGATATAGATATACGTGGCCTGTGCTCTTTCGGACCCCTAAAACCTGCAAACCCTACAGTAAACCCTAAAGCCAGAACCCCAAGCCTCGTACCGTTCGGCTGGCAATTCCTGACATTTCCTGACGCTGATATAGGGTTCCTTTAAAGGTTCTATAAGGGCTACTATAAGGGATCTATAAGGGTACTATAATAAAGGGGCCTTTACAAATAGAATAGGGTCTTGATGTTGCCAGGCTCAGCTGTGGGAGATGGCCGTGGGCTTGTTTTCCGATATGCAACGCGGGAAGCTTCAGCCATCTGCTGTGACTTACAACTCCATACTGAGCGCATGCCGCCCGGATGTATTAGTCAGTTCAAGATTGTCGAACATGCGAATGAATCTAGCTCCTTTCGATCAGGTGGGACGAATTCATGGGAGCTTTCCGTGGCTCTTGCAAGCGAGATGGAGAAAGCGCAGGTAGTTTTGGATGTTGTCAGCTACACGGCGCTCATAGCAGCCACCGGTCGTGCCCCTATTCCTTTCGGCATCGAGATGGCACTGGGTTTCCTTGAGCAGATGCGGTCCAAGCAGGTAAATCCAGAGACCTTGACATTCAACGCTGCATTGCACGCCTGCCAGTCAGCCTTGCACTGGGCTGCCGCCGTTGAAATCTTCTCGGAGGCTCGAAGAGGTGGGAGTTTCCGAAAATAGGGGTACCTTGTTTAGGGGTCCTTATAATAAGGATCCTACTATTTAGGGTCCCACATAAGGGTCCCCTATTTTCGGAAACTCCCAGGTAGAGGACCTGCAAGATTGGATTCAGTGTCCTGCGCAGCACTGTTGGACTCGCTCGCAGGGGCCGGAAGCTACGGCCGATTTCAGGCGATCCTGCCCGTAGTCCGCCGCGAGAACCTGAGGTCCGTGATCCTGGAGCCGCAAGCAGACGAGTTGAAGCTTCTGGCCGGCAGCATGAAGCCCGACTTACTCGCACTTGCAGCCCGCTCTGCTACTCTGTCTCTCAGTTTTTGGGACCCAAACCAGAGCTGGGTTGACTGGGGTTTGGTCTTGGTGCTCTTGCGCCGCACGGTGCTCGGTGGCGCACGCTCGCGATATGCAAAGTGCGAGCATAGAGAGACTGGCGGGAGTCTGCTTCGCCAGCTGGAAGAACTCATGACCGAAAGACGGAAGAGCTCAGAAGATCGCCTCTTAAACGCGGCCTTCTCGCATCCGTTCGGGCTTGGTCCCTTCTTGGCAAACCTCACGCTGGAGGCAGGATGTGAACGATCTGCTCTCTACTCTGCATGCACCATAGATCACATAGACAAGCCCTGGCCACCCTATGCTTGCAGAAGTCCTCCAGAGACTCGAATTAGGTGTGATGGGGATCTTGGCAAGCTAAGCGTATCGCGACCTCCCGAAAGCCTTCAATCCAAAGCCCCCAAACCCGAAGCCCTAAATCCTAGACCACTAAACCCTAAACCCCCTAAACCCGCCTGAGACAGAAGAAGGGCCCGCTGCACGTACAAAACGAAAGCCTTTAGCCCTAAGGCCGAAACCGAAGCCCTTAACCCAAAGCCTGAACCTACCTGGAGGATCATGGGACTTAGGGTTCCTTAAAGGGTTCCTTAAGGGGCTCCTTTTAAAGGGTTGTATAAGGGATCTGTAGGGGTTTGCGGGTTTTAGGGTCTGCTTGGAGGATCATGGGATTCAGTAATTGGGGTTATAAGTACGGTAACTGCAAATTATACTTATTAGTTATAACCCTAGTGAAGGTGCTTATTACTGTACTTACTAAGTCCCATGAACCTCCAAGTAGGCTGGCAGGGGGCCATAATAATTACCTGTGCTATTTTGGAGGCTCCTTAGTATAAGTATAGTATTCCGGTCCTTAAAGCCCTACTCTAACTAGTAAGGCCCCTGCATTAGGCCGGCATCTTCTTCTCGCTTCCCTTTGAATTCATTTCAAGTTGTCCGAAGCGACAAGATTGATCTTAGTCATCTGAAGGTCAGGAGTCTATTGACTGTGCAAGAATCAAGCAGCGCTTTGACACGTGCTGCATGCTTACAGTCTATTTTAGAAGCAGAACGATGGGCTTCAAAGCCAACTTACCCCAAAACGAAACTGGGTTTCTGCGTGCGAAAACAAGTACAGTATGCGTAGACGAGAAGTCTGTGGATTATCTCCGGACCGACGGGTAGACTGTGATTATGGGTTTGTGTTTGGGGTCTGGGGCTTGGCTCGTGCAGGAGGATGCGCAGTGTTGAATCTCGTTAAGTTTTGATCGGCGTGTGGGTGATCGACAAAGCTGCAAGTAAACCCTAAGTGCTAACCCTTCTAGAACCCTTACAGCAGCCTCTTAGACGCCCCTTTATCGATCGCCAGAATGGAACCCTATTAAGGCCCTGGTACCCAAAGAATCCTGCAGCCCCTGGGTTTCGGGTTTAGGGTTTAGGGTTAAGTTTAATCCCATAAAATCCTAAAGCCTTTAGGCGCTGGACTTCTCACAGATGTCTCGCGAACCTCGCCGACCTTCTGTGATGCCATCGCCAAGGCAAGGGTCATGGGCTTCTGTCCTGTGCTTACCCAGAGAGCCCAATACCCCTTAATTAAGGAATATAGCTTAAATCATAATACGAATCCCCTTATAATGTAAGGTATATTCCTTAATTAAGGGGTATTGGGCTCTCTGGGTAGTAGGGAATGAGGAATGGATCCCTCACGCAATATAATTCCCAATAATGTTCCCCATAACCCATTCCCGCTTTGGCTACTAGGCTTAGGCTTAGGGTTTAGGGTGTTTTGGAGGCCTTTGAAAGTATGGCCCGAATGCCGCTCCGGTGCGTTGTGCGTAGGGGACTGTCAGGAATCATGTAGATGGTTGTCAAAATTATGGTCCCTTTTCCGGTCCTTAACATTATACGGCCCCTATTTTTTAGGGTACCCAAAAAGGAACCCTCATGTTGACAACTACCCATATAGGAGATTATTCAGGCTTTTGTATGAACCCTTAAAACCCTCCTAAAGCCACAGGCCGTTGAACCGGTAAACCCCCGAACCCGAAAGCCCAAGCCTTGAACCCAAGCCCCGTCTCTAGCCCAAAGCCTTAGTCCTTAACCCCTAAACCTTAAACCCCGAAACACCGAAACCCCATCGTTTAGGGGGGCTCTCTGGGTCCTTCCCTATTACTGTCGGGATTTATCTCGTATTGACGGTAATATTCCTAAATCAGGGCCCTAACCCCTAGACCATCTCATTCACTGAAACCGATACCCTAAACCGACCCGGAACCCTAACAAAGATAGAGCGTACGCGCCGAACCCTTTCTGAGTCCTTCCCTTCCCAAATGGCCGTAGGTATGAAATGTGCGATGCTTTCCTAAAGAGACACTGCTTTCTACATAATGGTTTTCACCCTAAACCCTAACCCTAAACCCTTATAAACCCTAATTCCTCTTTGAGTCCTTCCCTTTTAGAGGTCTACGGGGGAGCCGGTAGCTCGCGAGCTTTGGGCGGAGGTGGATCTGGCTTTGGATCTCCGGTGCCATGGCTTTGAAGTTTAATTCAATATAGGGGCCTTAATAATTACATGCACTATTTCACCAGTTTTTTGGGGTCCGGATTATAAGTAAGTATAGTATAATATACCCTCAAAACCCTATTCTAGTTCTTATAAGGCTCCGATATTAGGGTGTTTGGGTTTAAGGTTTTTTGGGTGCAGGGCTTAAGCTCTGTCGGGCTTAGGGTTCAAGGTTTCAGGTCCTGGGCCTGGGTTTAGTGCCTTACTTGGAGGATCATGGGACTAAGGGGGCTCCTTAAAGGGTTCTTGAAGGGGCTCCTTTTGAAGGGGTTCTATAAGGGATCTATAGGGATTTAGGGTTTAGGGTCTACTTGGAGGATCCTGGGACTTAGTAACTAGGTTTATAAATAAGGTAGCTATACTTATAATTCCAATTAGGGTACCTATAACCTTACTTACTAAGTCCGATGATCCTCCAAGTAAGGTTGTGGGTTTGCTGTAGGGTTGAATGGTGTCGGGTTTCAGGGTTTGAAGGTTTCAGGTTTTAAGTTCTAGAGTTTCACTGTGACGGTTGTAGGGTTTGTGGCTTTGGTTAGGGTTCTAGTTGGGCTTTAGAGGAATCGGGCTTAGGGCTTCTAAATAAAACCTTGAGCCACTAAGGTTCACATCCCTGCGCGATAGGCAGCTCGTTGGCTACGGCGGTTCGGCCGTGCGCACTGTCAGCAGCGACGATAACAGAACCACGCAAAAGAAGCCCGTCATCCCTCCATGGAGTCGCACTGCTGCAGGTCCACATAAGCATTTTGCTTTTGTCGGTTTGCCTCTTGCGCAGGACCGTTGTATTGGTGGCGATGCCTCGGGAACCAAAGGGCAGGACGGGAAATGAACACAAGAAGCGATCTCAGCCTGCTTTCCTTGCTGTTTGTGTGACAGTACGGCAATTCGAAGGATGGGTCAGACGAGTTGAGCGAAGATCTGTTGCCATTCCTTCGTCTTTTGGTGGACGATGCCCCCTGGCAGCACTGTTCATGAGTACTGATCCTGCCAATGCTACAGTTTTGAAAGTGCAGTGATGTCAAGGTGCCACAAATGGTGAAGCGCATGACAGAGAACAGCCAGGACAGCTCGCAAAAACGTCCCGTGAATCAATCAGTTTTTGGATTGCAGTAGACCCTTAATTCTAGGATCTTTGTTAAAAGAACCCCGAAGCAAGGTACGTCCCCCATATAGATCCCTTCTTCAACCGTACCAAGCCCTCAATCAACCACCAAACGCTCTATCCCCAAAGACTCCAACTTTAGGGCACCCTAGGCTTAAGCGGGATCTATTCCTTAATCTTACCATTGGTTAGTGGGGAATGGAAGAATGGTAGTAATAGTAGTTATACTTGTACCCCATTCCTCCATTCCCTACTAACCAACGGTAAGTAATTAAGGTGTGTCGGAGTCTCTGGGCCCTTCCCCTCGCCAGACTCTGCTTGAGAAGATCAACCTGGAGCGTGCCGAGCGTGTTGCGAGCGAGGCATCGCAGGGTACTTGGAGGGTCGGGGGACTCAGTAACACCATGGGTTCCTTATGGGCCCCTTTAAAGGATCTATAGGGATTCTATAAGGGTATAGGGTTTAGGGTTTAGGGGGACTCAGTAACTGGTCATTTTTAAGGACTTATAAGTACCATAGCCCCAATTAGGATCCCGTTTAGGGTACTTATAAGTCTACTTACTACCTACGTACTAAGTCCCCCGACCCTCCAAGTACACGGCTGTAGGGTTTAGGGTTGCAGGGTTGCAGGGCTCAGGGCAGGGCGCTGGAGTAATCATAGGCCCTCAACCCCAAACCCCAAAATCTACGGAAGCGGCGTTCATTCGGCTTCCGGCGTCGGTTTGGCTTCTTGTGCAGCACAGGTTATCTTTTGTTATCCCAGCCCTACACGCCAAACCCTAATGCTCACCAGAAAACCCGAAGCCCGAAACCCAATACCGGCACTTCGCTCGCGACAGGCGCAGATCAGCGAAGCTCTCGAGCGATTGGACGAGCGAGTCGCCACAGCAAGTTATGTAGAAGGTGTATAATGGGTGTAGGACAGCGTAATATAGGAGCCTTAATAGTTAGAACAGGGTTTTGGGGCCACTATACCATAATTATTATAAGGAACCCCAGGTAGTTATTTAGGCCCCCACAGTAGGAGGTGTATGGATGATAGGGGGTGCATACAGGAGTGTATGGAGGTAGAGCGGTGAGCAACTCGTCAGTCACATTTTGTTTCGGGGTGCAGGGGTTTGGGCCACCTTTCAAACTGAAACCCTCAACCCTGAGCCCTTAAATGAAACCCTGCGTAAGTGTCGGGTATACTTAAAGGATCATGGGACCTCGTAACGAGGGTTTTTATTAGGGCAACAAATGTTAATAATTGCTTAACCCCAGCTTTAAGTACTTATAACTGTACTTACTATAAGTCCCATGAACCTCCAAGTAGGCCCTCCTTGTAACAAAACCTCTCGAACGCTAAATCCGACCCGAAGCCCTAAACCCCCAGCCGCAAACCCCAAACCCTTAACAGCACAACCGTGAACTCTAGGCCTCAACCCCACTCCTGAACCCTTAGCCCAAAACCCCAATTCGCCTACAAAGCCCGCCACATCTCTTCCGGCATCTAGAATGTACGGAAATATACTATAATATACTGTATACTGGAATATACTGTTAACAACAATAATAGAACACACTATAACGCGTGATAGTATACTATAATACGCTATACTTATATACTACTCTACAACATATCGGAACGTATTAAGATCTACCATAACATAGTACAACGTGCTCTAAGACACTTTTTGCCAGGTCGAGTCCTTCACATCCAGACCAACACCAGGCCCCACGCTGCTACACAGCAGTCAGGGCCTCACGGCAGGGTTCAGAGGTTCAGGGGTTTAGGGGTATAGGTTTAGGCTTTATGGGTTTAGGGTTTAGGGGTTTAGGGTTTAGGGGTTTAGGGTTTCATGGGTTTAGGGTTTAGGGTTCAGTAGTTCAGGGGGTTGGGGAGTTCGGGGCTTTGGGAGTTCGAGGCTTTGGGGTGTAGGTTCGGGAGTTTTGCTTTTAAGATGATCTTATGTTTATTTCTGCTCACAAGGACAAATGTCTGCGAACATATTTTGCACCTGTATGTGTGTACGGGTGCAAATGTGTGTACGCGGAGTTGTAGTCAACGTACTTCGCAAGCAGAGGCATAAGAGACCTACGACCTACTAGAATATGGGCGAGTTTGCAGCCGAGACAAAAGCCCCGCAACCCTTAAACCCTTAAATCTATGATCTATAAACTATAATATATGATATACTCTAGCCTTAGTCCGAAACCCTCAACCCTAAACCCTGAACCCTGGACCTTCCTAGGCCAAAAGCCCTGAGCCCAATGGCCACTGTCCAACTACCAGGTGTCATCTTAGTCTGATATTTGCAAGGCGCCCGCTACCCAGGGACTCTTTCCCCTTAATCTAAGATCATATCAGGGCTCCTGTTATCATCTAAGGTATTTGCCTTAATTAAGGGGTTTTGGAGTCTCTGGGCACATCTCCCGCAGTATAAGGTTTAGGGCTCAGGGCTTAGGGGTCCAGGAGCTGCCCATGCTCTGAAGAAAGCATGCTTGGAGGATCATGGGACTTAGTAACTAGGTTTATAAATAAGGCAACTGTACTTATAACTCCAATAGAGTGCTTATAACCTTACTTACTAAGTCCCGTGATCCTCCAAGTAGTAGGGAATGTCTCCCAGCATGACACGAGGGTCGTTTCTTCGGTGCTTGTCAGTCGCAGACTGTTTCGGGTCTGTGGGCCAGGGCTTGAACCGAGACCCAAAACTTCTTAAACCCCAAACATAAAGCCTTCAACCAGCCAAACCCCAAAGCCGCAAGGCCTTTGCCCAAAGCCCTAGAACCTCTAGCCCTCAAACTCTCAAGCCCTTCAGCCCCTAAACCACAACTCTTGGAGGGGCTCTGTTGCTAAGGGGGGGATATGTCATAGTATACTCATAAAAAGGAACCCCCAAAACCCTATTCTAACCATTTTAGGCCCCTACATCCCTAAATCCCTTATAGAGCCCTTAAAGGAGCCCTTTTAGGAGCCCTTAAAGGAGCCCTCCTTATAGCTGCTTTCAAACCGGCCTTCAGGTGCCGTGCGCTTCGAGGAGAAGGGGAGGATGGTGCCTTGCGTGCCAAGGCCGGAAGGGTTTATGGGAGTTTCCGCAAAAATTAGGGGTACCTTATTTTGGTGTCTTTACAATAAGGATCCTACTATTTAGGGTAGTATACTAGGATCCCTATTTTCGGAAACTCCCTTATGTTTCAGGGCTTAAGCGGCCCCCTAAAGGAACCCTACAGATCCCTTAAGGGGTTTAGGGTTGAGGCTTTGGGGCTGAGGATTTTGGATTTAGGCTTCAGGTTAAGAGTAGATAAAAGTTCAGAGCTTTGGTTCCTATAAAGGTTTGAGGACTAGAAGTGGTTTAGGGTTGGGGGTTTCGGGCTCAGCGATTGAGGAAGAGTTTTAGGGTTTGGGGAGGGTTTCTGCTTTTGCGTTCCTGTAAAGGTTCTATGGGGACCGATTCTACAACCCAGAGGCTCCATGTATAGTACCATTATGGAATTAGGTCCCCAACGCCATCCATATGGATGGTCTTTTGGGCCCATTATGGAATTAGGTCCCCAACGCCATCCATATGGATGGTCTTTTGGGCCCTGGTTCCATAATGGGTAGTAAAGGTGGAGCCTCTAGGTTATGGAATTAGGTTCCCAAAACCATAGCCAGGATGATCTTTGGGACCTGATTCCTTAATGGTAGTATATGTGGAGCCTTTGGGTAGGCTTCCTTTACAGGGATCTATAAGGGTTTCCTTTAAAGGGGTTGGCATTCCATAATGGTGGTATATGTGGAGCCTCTACTAGGTAAGAGTTCGTATCAGGGTGGTTTTACTAACGGCCACTCCGAGGGCTTCGAATTTTGGGTTAGGGGCTGTAGGGTTTAGTTGGGCGTTAATATAGGGGTTTCTAGGGTTCCTTTAAAGGGGTCTATTAAGGGTTTCTATAAGGGATCTATAACGGTACTATTATGTAAGGGCCTTTGTAATCACCTATAATATTTTGGGGGTTCCTGATTATACCTGTAGTCTCATGGGCCCCGAAACCTTTCGGGTGTACGGTCAAGTACGCTGAACACAAAACCTTGGAGCGGCAAATGCTCACAAAGCCTATGAAACTCTGTTAGCCCCAATCCCGAGAACTAAAACCTGACACACTTATGAAGCCTCATACACCCTAAACCTGAAACCCTAAACCTAAAAACCTTCTAGAATCCTAGAACATACTATGAAACCGAATGAACAAACCCCAAAGCAAGCCCATAAGCCTGGAGCCCCAAACCCTATAACCTTTTCTTATAGGACACACTATGACACCGAGTAAACAAGCCCAACTCAACCCGCTCAAAGGCCAGTGGCAGTCCAGCGCTGCACGTCGACACCGCGCAACTTTGCGCCCTGGATCCCTGTAAGGGTTGCTATAAGTTTGGGGTCTCTAGAAAGGTTGCTACAGAAATGAATACATGCATACACAGACGTACATACATACATACATACACACATGCACGCATAAGCACATGCATGCATGGATGCATACACACATGCAGACATACATTCATTCAGACATACATACATACGTACGTACGTACATACATCATATATGCATGCATACATATACACACGCATGCATGCATGCGTACATACATACATTTAGACTTGGATGCGTGCATACATGCATACATGCTCACGCACGTAGGTGCATGTATACGTGCATGCATACGTACATTGATCGCATTCATAAGCACATGCCTACAGACTGACATAGATGCACACTGGTGAGTGCAACTACACCTCCGGACATGGGTTTCGACGTTTTTGATGAATATCTCTCTGAAGACATACGTTTTGTTTTCGACGGCCATAGTACGCAGGCTACCAGTAGAGTTACAGAAAGAGTCCCGCTAAGGCCACTGTGCGCTTTGAGTATATAATCTACTTACCAAGTGCCTTGATCCTCAACACATGTGTATGTGTATCAGCTTCTGTTTTTGCAGGCGCGACCCCGCAGATTCATATCCCGCCCTTCTTAACAAAGGACCATGCTAAGTTGGAGGCCCTTGTAGAAGAAGGTGCGGCGGGGGTGTTCGGGCTTAGGATTGATTGATCAGAGGTCTACAATCTAACCCTAACCTCCTAACGCGCTAGGCCGTATGCACGGGCTATGTTTGTTGTTACGTATTATGTATGCATGCACGTATGTATGTCTACAAGTAGTTACGTTAGATTGTTATTGATGTACTCATGCGTAGGTTGTCAGGTAGGTCGCTAGATAGGCGGTAGCCTGTACCTTTGCACCTATGTATCGATGTATTTATGAATGTTGTGTCGGTGCGCATGTGTGTAAGTATGTGTC